TGAAGAATTTGAAATGTGTGTTGTGGTGCACATATGTAAGAGTTTCTCTTAACTGTAAACCAGAGGTGGAATTGCATGCACATCTGCAAAATACTCTGTTTTTCTTCACTAAACCTTAATTCTGTCTTTAATCATTCTTCCCTTCATTTTAATGATTGTATTTTATCTCAAGGAGTGTATGTACTAAGCCATATCTCCATTGTTGAACATCTAGAGTTTGTCCTCATTTTTTTAACTTTATACACAGCTCTGGGGGAAAAATTTTTTTGCACAGAATTCTCTGCTTTTTAGGTCATTTCCTTATGAGGAATTCCCAGAAGTGGATTTCTTAAATTAAGGCTGTATTGATTTCCATTCAGTGGAAAGGTTTTTACTGCTGAAATACACAAAATAATTGTCATCCAAGTAGTCGTTAATCCTTTTGGGACCATAGATCCTTTGGAGACTATGATTAAGGATATGGACCTGTCCTCCAGAAAACACATGTGCGTCCGCGCGCGCACACACACACACACACACAAATTATTTGTATTCACAAAAAAAGCAGAATGCAATTTCAAGAATTTCTCAGACTCTCTGAAGCCCATATGCTGATACCTCTATTAAATAAGATATACTGTGTTACGTACCACATATTTCTTATAATACTTCACCAAATAAGTTCACATACCAACTGCAGTATCTGTCAATTACCTTTTGTTTCAAACCACAATCTACTGAGCACCCACAATGTGCCAGCACCTATGCCAGATACTAGAAATAGAAGAATAAATGCTCCTGACTTCAAGGATTATAGAGCCTAATGGGGAAGACATAAAATAACACATATTTCAAAAAAAAAAATATGTGCAATAAGAGAGATATTCATTAGGCAAAACAGAGATAAAAATTAAGGATTAATGAACTGTCTTTTCCCAAGGGGTTGCAAAGAATGAATAAACATTCTCAAGGATGTTAGAAGAAATAGTGCCAGCAAAGGGAGAAAGACATCATATAACCTGGCATCTATAGGAAGTTATATATGAGTCAAATGTAGTTGGGTTCGAATGGCTAATGAATGTAAGGAAGGGTTAAGACTCTTCCTTATTTGAGAGCGAGATTAAGAAAACAGTATTGACAGGGGCGCCTGGGAGGCTCAGTCAGTTAAGCATCTGACTTTGACTGAGGTCATGATCATTTGTCAGGCTCCATGCTAACAGCTCAGAGCCTGGAGCCTGCTTCAGGCTCTCTCTTTGCTCTCTCTTTGCTCTCTCTTTGCTCCTTCCCCATTCATGCCCTGTCTCTCTCTGTCTCTCAAAAATAAACATTAAAAAAAAAAAAAAAGAAAAGAGTATTGGTATATAAGGCAGTTGGTATGACAACAGAAAGGAAACTACAAAAGATTTCCTCCCAAACACTTCCTTTATTACCCCAAACCTGCTCTTACTTAATACAAAGGAAAACATTTGCCTGTTTTTTTGTGCAACTGTCTGAAAGCTCAGTGCTCAACATACAAGGTTTAAAACCTACATATTAATACAAATAAGCAACACCTTTAACATTGTGGTATGGCTTTCATTTTGTAAGTGGAACTATTAGAAAGCCTGTACAAGAAGTACTACAATAATCTTTTCATAAAATTGCCTTGAAAAGCTTATTTCTATGTAAAAGAGTATCTTTTTAACATTCACTTTAAAAATCACTTTTCAGCCTGTTAGTTAACACTTCTAATATAATCATCTCATGAAAAACATTTTGTTTTTTTGAATCCAACTGAACTTTAGAAATGCAACTAGACATAATTGTTACTTGGAAGTTACTGGTTTAACTATAACAGAACATATGGAATTTCTGTAAAACATATGCATCTTATACTCCTATGGAAAATGAACATACCCAATTTTAATAAATTAATAAATATCTTTGATAGGCTTTCATCCAAAGTATGAATACAGTACTATGAAAGTAATATTTTTGGCAATATTTCCACTTGGTGTGATAAGATTGTACACATATTTCCTTTCTTTTGAAATTTTAACCTTAGTTATATTTCTGCCATGCTTATTCTGTTCCCTTAAAATAATACCCAAATTGTATACATTATAGAACTACATGTATAGAATCACATGTATAAATATATAAGGTGGGATTATAGAGCAATACAACTTGTTTCTTTTATGACTAGAAAAGAAAGGGAAAATAGGGTTTTAAAATTTAAATAGTAACCAACTGAAGGTGAATAAACCAACTGAAGCTTATAAACCTCTCAGCACAGGGGCTCCTGGGTGGCTCAATCTGTTAAGCATCCAACTCTGGATTTCAGCTCAGGTCATGATCTCCCAGTTTGTGAGTTCGAGCCCTGCATCAGGCTCTGCACTGGCAGCATGGAGCCTGCTTGGGATTCTGTCTCCCTCTCTCCCTCAAAAGTAAATAAACTTTAAAAATTAAAAAAAAATAATAAAGCTCTCAGCACAAAGAAATGCCTGACTTTCTTTTTTCTTCAAAGTGCCCCCTAGGGTCTCTAGATAGCATCCCATTAAATACCACTGACCTTTGTCAAAATACAGGATCTTCAAGGGGTCCTCAAAATAATAAAGAGATGTACTCTCATTGCTGGTTGTCTAAAACACATATAGAACATGGTTCCATTCAGATTTAAAGTGAAGAAATGAAAATTTTTATATGTATCAAAAATAAATTTAAAAGGAGCAAGTTTTTTCTTTAAAATTTTCATGGAAATCCCAATGAATCTCATAAGGTGCAAAAGTACAAATAAGAATATATGTTGATATATGCTTTTTCCCCTGTCAGGTTGTTTTGCTTTGTTCCAAGAGGGGGAATCTCATGAAATTTTTGTTCCTAAGTGGAAAGCATTACTTAAAGGAACTTAAAACAAAAAGCATAGTAAATCAATAAGGGTTCCAAGATTTTCATGAAGTGGTTTGAAAAACAGACGCTCTGTGACATATATCAAAAGACTGCCAACAACACTGACCACACGCAAAGAAAGTAAAATAACAAATCTACAATAGGTACAAATTATATACATTTATTTTTTAATAATTTTAAATAACACTCTTGTATAAATTCTTTCATATATTCAAATCATACACAAATTTAGAAATGCATCATGAAGCCTAGTACAGCATCTGTAGGAGACACGCTTTTAGAATTTGTGTTAGAATTTTAGTGACATACATAGGAGTTTAATGTTTCAGGAACATCCCCTAATCGCCCGGGCTAAGATGTAACCTATGGCAGAGTGCAGGTGCCTAGCACTAAAACTCGGCTCTGTCAATCACTGGGCTTTGGGCTCAGTTGGCTCCGACACCCTGAGCCCCCGTGCTCGCCACTGTCACAACTCTTGCCTGGGTATCAGTAACAAGTAACTGGGGTTCCCAACTGCCTTTGAAAAAGCATCATTCGACCGCTGCCATTTTAACCATGCATAGCCTTCGGTCCATTTGACGTGATCTCGAGTCTCTGGATGAATAGGTGTGTTCTTCCTGCTTTTTCCCTCGGCATGGTTACTGGCTTGGGGTTAAAGAGGAAAACTGTGCTAACCTTCCATCACTCCCCTGCACACACCAAACTCATGTCAGTTCCCAAACCCCATGCCGTCAAGATCATAACGGACCAAAGCTCTTCATGGATGAGGCCAGAAATGCGTTCCTTGCTCTAACAGGTTAGGCGGGGTTGCTTTGTACTTCTCTGAACTTTTTATCAGAGAGCTTTCTTTCCTTGAGATGCATAGATTCAACTCCTACCCACGTACGTCAAAGCATAAGAAGCATAAGGGAATGTTCGTTACAAGTGGTGTTATGCTTACCCTAGGACCATGGTGAGTGATCGAATAACTCCGTCCCAACTGAGGCTCTTAGGAAGACATTCTATTGCTTTAGCTCTCTGCCTTCAAAACAGCGCGAGAAGGGCTAAATTTCCAGAAGGCACTCTCTGACCAAAATGAACTAGTGGGGTAGTGAGTATTGCTTCAATGATCCGTTTTCTGGGGAATGTTAGGGTGAGAGAGTACCCATATAATCTGACCTCTCCCCCCAAATCTCTCTCCTCCCACGTCACATCTGCTCTGTTCTCTCTTAAAATGCAGGTTATCCCTAAGAGTGGTAACCCAGTAAATCCAGAGGACCTTAGTATAAATAAGCGTTAGTTTTTATTACCGTTTTTCTCTGTAACTGGAGAAATTCCATTCATCAGAGACGTCTGGGAGCTAGCCAGTGCAGGGAGGGAGGGGAAAATAAGGGAGGGCAGACGTATTTAACAACACTACCTAGGGCTTCTGTCAGAAATACCTCAGGGCTGGAGCGCCTGGGTGGCTTAGTCGGTTAAGTGTCCGACTTTCGCTTAGGTCATGATCTCACGTTCGGGGGTCCGAGCCCCGCGTCGGGCTCTGTGCTGACTGCCAGCTCAGAGCCTGGAGCCTGCTTCGGTCTGTGACTCCCTCTCTCTCTGACCCTCCCCTGCTCACGCTGTCTCTCTCTCTCCCTCTCTCCTAGAAATAAATAAAACATTTAAAAAAAAAAAAAAAAGAAATACCTCAGGGCTTATGAAAATGAATGAATGGAGATAAAATGATCACTTAATAGCAGTATCTGTCATTTATCAGTTAGGTCCACACTAGTCTTAATAAAAAATAAACACATTTCTAACCCTTATTCAAAAGGTCTTCCGATATTATCTTTCTAGAAGACTGACGGGATCCTGGTGTGAAGCGCCATGGCTCAGGGAGACCCTGCCTTCAGAGGAACGAATATTTTGCAATTCATTCCATAGTAGTTTCCTAGTCTGATTTTGCTGGTAGATCCCTTCACGACTGATTTGTATTCTTGAGCAAAATTATTTCCACCAGCAAAAAGCAAGCGACACTAAAGAACATCATTTCAAACAAGTTTTAAGACCTCACTGTTGTTGTTTTTTGTTTTTTGTTTTTTTTTACATTGGGAAAAATTAAGAACCTGACCTAGGAACTGTTACTGATTACTCAGAGGTTAACGTTCCTTGTGATTCAATGCTTACAATGCCTTTTTAAGATATCCTGCAAGCAATCTCTTTATGGCCAGAATCTGGACTATTCCGCTTTGGCTCTTAGACCCCGACAAACACTCACAGTTACTTCTGTGTAACCAGTGCTTATCTCTCACCATGCTCAACTCCTCAGCTTGAGGGGTGGCAGTCAGGGAGAGAGGCCCCCTCCCTCGGAGCTGCGCAGTGCTCAGTCTGTACATGTGTAGGTGGAGGCTGCTGGGGAAAACATGTTTCCCACTCAGCTCGTCAGGATTAGTTCTCTTTAAGGAAGCACAAAAACCGGTAGTTTTGTTTTCTTGTCACCAATCCTGGCTTCAGACAGTAATCTTCCAGTGTCCTTCCCACAAAACCCTTTCCAGCTGTATGGCCCTGGACTGTCCCTTGTACTTACGAAGTTAGAAACATTCACAGACAAGACGCTCCCTCCCGACCTCTCTGTCCGTGGCTAGCAGTTTCTACACTGGCCTAGAGTTGGAAGAATATGTGCTTCAGAGTTAGGAGGCCTGATTCCAAGCCTAATAATGACATATTGTACAGCCTTGAATGAGACAGTTAACCTCATCTATAAAATGGGGACAATAATTACTTCCTTAGGCGGCTATGGTAAGGAACAGAGGACACGTGTGGAAATGTGCTTTGTGAACTGCAAAGGGCTCTAGAAATACCCATTGATGTTTTAAATATAATGTAACGTAATGTATCCTCTCCTCTCAAGAGCCATGGCCAAATACTCAGAGCACCTCAGGTTACAGAAATGGATCATCTGTGTGTCCATCATCCAGAACACCATGTGTAAATCCTGAGAAAGCCGAGGGGTCTCTTACAGAGGGATGAATAAATTCCAGGCTTTTCTCTAGGGAAGGCAGGCAAGGTTGTCAACTTGGATTTTCTAGGTCTAATCTAACAAATCTTTACTTCTTTTCTCACCACTTGACAGTTTGCTGTTCCTCCTAATAAATATCTATATTTGACTTCTGGCTGCTTTTCCTGGCTTGCTTAACCCACAGCCTGTCAATACCTTACAGTGCAACAGTAGGTGCCTCCAGCGAAACCCTGTGTCTAAAAGCCAGGACTGACTGTACCCAGCCAGCTACGGAACCACCCTCACACAGCAGAGCGAGAGCCCTGCAGGAAGATGGCAGATACCTCACGGGTGATAAGCTATGTTCAAATGTGGAAGGTATTTTTTTTTTGAGCGGGGAGGAAGAGTATAACAAATATTTCACATGCATGGAAAACAGGGGATCCCAAGTGACATGATGGCTTTTCTTTTGGAACTAAAATATTTCTAATGCCTTTGGAAGACTGTCTTTTCCATTTAAAAACATTTTTCTTGTGAGGATCTGTTCTACATTGATCTATGTAAAATATATAGACCGGCTAATATCTAATCATCTGAGTACTTTAGAGAGTACAGCCTGTGTCCCAGCTTAACAATCACGGACTTAAAAATCTATTGCTTGAATGTCTAGTAAGTCAAAGGACATGTAACTCTACTTTGAGACTGAGAAAGGGAAAGAAAGTTTGGAAACATTCAACCTCTTATAAATTTCAACAGTGTCCAAAGAGGGACTAAAAATGACTGACGTTCACCAGAGTCCCAGCTCCAGCAGTACTGCCACCTATGTTACACTATTTTAACCAATCCCCGTATGTTCTTTTTACAATGCCATTAACTGCTGTACAAATAGTTTCTAGATGATAAAATATGACACGATTTTTTTTTTTTTTACAAATAGATACAAATAACAATGTTGACCAGATATGCTACATTCACTATATACACCTTATTTCTCTGGAGGCAGGAACAGTCCTTATTTTCGGACAATTCATCATTTACACTGAGACCCTATGGAGAACCATCAGCTTCCTGCTCCCAGAGGTCACCTTCCTGTGTCTACCATTAGAAGTTTATCCTGTGCTTGGATCCTACCATTGAGCAAGAATTTGGGAAGGAAAAATCAAGACTTTCTAATGACCCTCTTGAGACTTTTCTGCTCCTATTCTGGAAACAATCGAGATTGTTTATTGGGATACAGCCCAGACAGTAAGCTTTCCTGCGGTGCTGTCTTTTAGCACAGTAAAAGGAATATCATCCCTGACCCTCCTTTTAAAAAAGGTGTTTCAGGAATGGAGATGAGGTCTTCCTGGAGTCCGTCCCCTCCACTTCCATCATCGTGTTTCCGCTGGTTTGGTGAGCACTGCCCCAGGAGTCTATTTGGGGGTCAAAGTAGATGTGGGCTGCATTGTGGGGTTCAGCCTTTCTATACTCCCCTGTCTCTGGGTACAAAAATATACTTTACTACAAGTCCTTATTGACAGTGACTGCTTCAGATCGTCACGGGGAAGCCATGAGTGATAGGCTAAGTGCATTACACATTGGTACCTGAAACTTTCAGGTGCATACACGCCTCTGCGTTCTCAGCAAACTGCTCAGGCCGCGTCTGGCCCGGTCGATGCTGCCTTAGGAAGCAATGTGGTCTAATGATCCCGGATGACAGTTCCGGCTCCTCAGGCTTTGTAGTTATGGATGGGCGTCGTCAGGGTCAGTTGCCCATTGGGAGCCACTTCGTTGCCATCATCTTCTAACAACCCTGACACATCTGCATTGGGAATGCTGTCGTGGTAGCTGCTGAAACTGATATTGTCTTCTTTCAGCTCGATGGTCCAAAAAGGGGCATTGAGCTTCCGGGTTTGGTACTCCCGGTGCATATAGACGGCCCCCACAAATCCCATGAGCAGCACCACCACGATGATGATCACTGTCAAAATGATGATGTTAAACTGGGTCCATGAAACATCAGCTAAAGCTGACGTGCTGTTCTCAGCAGAGCTTACGGAAAAGATAGTCTGCAGGGTTGTGGGGGTAAGTGTACTATTTATAACAGGGGTGGGCACTGATGTGGTCAAAGAGGCATTGGAAACCAAAATGGTAGAACCTTCAGGTGTTGGAACAATAACTTCTGAAAATAAAAACAGAGAATGAAATGTAAAAGACAAAATTATCTAGTTTTGAGAAACAATAAAAGAAATACACATGGGAGTGGAAGTTGATGTGGGATGTGGACATGATAGTCTGCTTTAAGATAATGCAAGTTAAAAATAATTTTTAAAGAAATATAGCGAAAAGAATCAAGGTCTAGAAAGCTAGATTATGACATCCGTGGCTGTTCTCCAAAATGTATCATAAGAAAATCTTGGGGAAAATCCTAATGTTGAAGTTTCCTATCCTTCCTGACTCTTGGGTAGATTCATACAAATTCCTGCAAAGGCAGTAAATATCTCAGTACTGAGTCCTAGATCACTGGCTAAAAGTGACAGGAATAAAAAGACAATCATTTGAACTAAAATAAGTTCAACATGCCTGGTGGCACTTCATAAGGGCGAGATTCTCCTCAAAGGAAGCAAAAACAGAGTAAGAAAAATTGTATCTCTGGTTACTTCTGAAAGACAAAATTTAAATGTCCAAAGTTGATGTCAGCCAAGAGAAAAAAACATACAAACAAAAAAAAAACACAAAAAAAGTCTTCTTTTAATTGTGTGTGTGGTAACTGTCCGGTCACGGAGACTGTGGCCATCTTAGAATTAGAGTGCTAATGCGGCACTCGGTGTGGCACAGGCTTTGGAATCAGGTAGAACTGTGTGGCTACAGATAAGTAAGTGAATCTTTTTAACACCGAGGCTCCTCGTCTGTAAAATGGGAATGATAATAGCTACTTTGCAGAGTTTCTGGGGAGCGTTACGTGAGCTAGTTACCACATGTAATGCTCCCAGGGCTTGGTGCATCATAGACAGCTGATAAAATGACTGTTACCATCATTATAATTCATCACCACAGCCAGACACAGGAATCTATCCCGAGACGAGACATGTTTTACTTTACCTAGTGGCTACAAAGAAAAACCACCACGGTGCTGCCAGCTAAGTGTGGACAAAGCGTGCCTGAGAACGGGAAGGAGACCCTAGTAACAGGATCTCCAGGCTAGCGACCGCGTTCAGCCTCTTAGCCCTGATCACAACACAATAAGGTTATTAAGAAAATGGCAGAGGTGACAACACTTGCCACGGACCAACTGTCCTTCGGTCCAGTATTCAGCATCTGCCAGATTATCAGAGACTGGTTTCTAGAAGGGTATGGTAAAATCACTCTGTGACCTAATAAAGCCTGAATATGCCTAACTCATCCTGAATTTCCAATCATTGATTTTTGTCTAAACCTTTACTGACCTTTCCTGCAGGAAACTTTTTTTTTTTTTTTTGCCATATGAACAACTTTTTTCTTTTAAAAATCAAAAGGAATATAATTACTATTTCCTCCATCACACCTGGGAAAACTCAGGCCCTAAATTAGGACAGATGCTATGGTGGACTCTCTGTTTCTCAGCTGGAACGTCTAACCAGATTACAGATCCCTGCTTCCAAAGACCTTTGATGGTCGCTGGAAGTGACGAGAATATAGAAGCAAAGGATAAAAGACATGAGAGGACTTTTAAATTATTAACATATAAATGAAAATAGATGAAGAGAAAATGTGGGAACCCTGCAATGACTTTGTCGCGAGGCTCCGATTTCTGGAGTTGGCTTTGGAGCATCAGGAGAGCAGCAGGAATAGAAGGAGATCCCTTCAGGCAAATACCTATGAAAATCTATTTCCAGAAAATTCCTCTCGTGTGACTGGAAGATTTTATAAAGCTAAAGATAGCTGTCCTGAAATTTTCACTGCTAGGCTTAGATATTATATTTACCACCTTAGGTGAAGTTTTACCTTTCTTGATGCAATTTCCCTCGAGGTCTTGGACATAGCCTTCCAGGCAGTTCTCACACCAAAACCCAGTGGTGTTATGTAGGCAGTTGATGCATTCACCACTCTCGGGCTTGCAAATCTTTGGAGTTTTGATTGGGTCCACGTGGCCATGACATTGGCACTTGGTACAGATGCTGTCGGAATTGTAATAGCCATTTTCACATGTGTTGCAATTCTGGCCCGTGTAACCGTCTTTGCACTGGACACACGTAGGCTCCAAGTCATCCAGTTCTGAGAGAGAGAGGACGTCAACATAATTTAGTACCGTCTTGAGCTACAATTATGAATGCAAAGCAACTCCTGGTCTGCAAAAAGGTTTATGAACCCTCCCTACTGTCTGCTCTCAAACTTAAAGAGACTAAAGATCTACACCTTATTTCTTAAGTCTTAATTGTCCAGCTTATTGTGAAAACAATGCAGCCCTCCAGAGATTCTATTCAGGTAGAGAACAAAAGAAAGATGCTTACATTAGGGATATGAGCCATTATAATAACTAGACACTCTCATAACTTCTGCATTCCTTCTTTAGTCACGACAGATGGAATAAAATATGATCTTAACAAAAACTTCATCTCTCCCTCAAGTCTCATTTCACATATGTATTTGGATTTGGTTGCAAATGCCTAGAAAGAAAAACCTTTGCTATTTTTAAAACTCCCTTTCCCCTACAGCACCCTACAGAACTTCACTCATCAGTGCGCTTTACATCAATTGATAACTGACTGGCTGATTTTTCCTCTCAAAATGAAGATTTAGAGAAAGGCCTTACTTATGATACAGCTGCCTGTAGATGTCACTGCTGAACAAGGACAGCGAAGACATTCTTTTGTGGCATCAGGACTCTGATAAAATCCTTCTTTGCATTCTTCACAGTGATCCCCTTTGCTATTTTCCTGGCAGTTTAGACAAGCACCTAAGAGAAGCAAATTATTTTAGGAAGTTAAAGATTCACTCTGAAAGCACAATAACTTTAAATAAATCATACCTGCAACCAAGAGACCTTAAGAGTTAACCAGGAGAAGTTAGCCAATAGGAATTAATAGAGTTCAGTTTCCATCCCATCTTATTTCTACACTCATTTCTACAGACTTCCAGGTCTGTAAATTCTGTGCCCCCTACTTGATTGTGAACTCTAGGGAAAGGCTGGGTACATGAGTAGCAATAAGTCTGTGTTGATTGCTGACAACATATAGAAAGCAGATGAACGATTTTTTCAGAAAAAAATAAAACAGCCTAAAAATCTATTCAAAAATGAATGACCTGTACAATTTTCATAGTTAGGATACTGTAATTAGATAAATGAACTAGAACTATATGTATGAACATGCATGAACTTCAGAAACAAGGTTGGTTGAAAAAAGCAAACTGCAGGGGTGCCTGGGTGGCCCAGTCGGTTAAGCATCCGACTTCAGCTCGGGTCATGATCTCATCACTCATGGGTTCTAGCCCCGCATTGGGCTATGTGCTGACAGCTCAGGGCCTGGAGCCTCTTTCAGATTGTGTGTCTCCCTCTCTCCCTGCCCCTCCCCAGCTCGTGCTCTGTCTCTCTCTGTCTCAAAAATAAATAAACATTTAAAAAAATATTTTTTAAAAAGAAAAAAGCAAGCTGCAGAATGATAGAGAACAGATGGAGAGTACTTACTTATCTTGTAAAATTAAAAAAAAACTGTACTAAGCAATACTAAGCAAATGAATACAGAATACAGTAAGCAAATGGATATATACATATAATGGGTAATAAAAATCAGGTGTGGACTGAGAGAGTACAGTTGAATTTTATGCTTTGCTTGTCCTTGGGGAGGGAAGGAGGAAAATGAGTCTAGGGGAAAAAAACACAGAGGACTCCCAACTTTATTTGAAATTTTCTATTTCAAATATACAACTGTATATATATTAAGCAAAATACCAAAAGGTTAATATTTATTAATTCTAGGTGTAGGTACATGGGTATTGTCATATTATTTTCCACACATTTTTATATTCTAAAAATTCAAGATCAAAGGAAAAACAATGAATTAGTAGGGACACCTGGCTGCCTCAGTTGGTAGAGCATGTGATTCTTGATCTCAGGGTTGTGAGTTTGAGCCCCATGTTGGGTGTAGGGATCACCATAAATATATACATACATACATACATACTTAAGAATTTTTTTTACTGTTTATTTATTTATGAGAGAGACAGGGCACAAGGCGGGAGGGGTAGAGAGAGAGAGGGAGACAGAATCCAAAGCAGGCTGCAGGCTCTGAGCTCTCAGCACAGAGCCTGATGTGGGGCTCAAACTCACAAACCACAAGATCATGACCTTAGCCAAAGTCAGACGCTTAACCAACAGAGCCACCCAGGTGCCCTATAAATAAATACTTTAAAAAATACACAATTCATTAGTAGAGAAAATGAAAAAGAAGGAGGAAAGCCAAGTTATGTGTTTTGTAGTACTGTTCCTTTGCTACCCTGTTAGTGAACATATTCTATAGGCACTGAAGGAGCATAATATCTGAAAACAGAAAATGGAAAAGTGTGGTGTTATTTACACCTCCTTTTTTTTAAGTTTGTTTATGTTTTATTTATTTATAGAGAGCATGAGAGAGCGGGGTAGGGGTAGAGAGAGAAAGAAAGAATCCCAAGCAGGCTCCGCATTGTCAGCACAGAGCCCAACACGGGGCTCCAACTCATGAACCAGGAGATCATGATGAAATCAAGAGTCAGATGCTTAACCAACTGAGCCACTCAGGCGCCCCCATGTCCCTTCTTCAGGAGGCTGGGGAGACGCACGGGGCCTCTCTGCTATTACAGGAGTGAGAACATGTGACAGAAACCTGGGAAGACAATGAAGTTTTACCTGATAAGCTAAACACAGTTAAGTGCTCAGGCTATCCATGAACAGTTACATTTGATTTCTTTTCCTTACAAGTGAAATATTTATGACAAAGGGGAGAGAGACTGAGGTTGTGAAATAAAATGATCTGACACTAGGGCAAGGTTTGGAAAACCAAAATAGTGACAATGTTATTAACCCACATGGCACATCTCGATTCTTAAGTGATTACAGCAGAATTCCCCCAAACTTCAATGACTGATGGGAAAAGATAGCTTCAATAATTTATTATCTTAACACTGAACTTTGAACTAAATCAAATGTGCACAGAAATGTCAGTTTTAATCATAGAATTTCTTTTAAGATTTTATTTGTAAGCAATCTACTTATTCAACATGGAGCTTGAACCCACAGCCCCAAGATCAAAAGTCACACGCTCTACTGACTGGGCCAGCCAGATGTCCCTAATCATATAATTTTTTAAGGCCTGTTAGTGTTAATGACACTTCTCACACATATAACAAAGGAGCAGTATATCCTCATACAGTGATAAACACTTTGGTACTGATTTCTTTCTAGACCTTATATCCTGATCCCTCATTAGCTATGTATCTTTGTGACAATTAAAAAAGCTGGAAAAAAATACATACCAAGAAACTGCAGATTTGGGCCCTACAAATAAGTTAATCTTAAATGTCAAAGTGTTCTGCAGGTTGGAGAAGTCAAACCTGCATCCTGTGTAAACTCTGGCCATCTGCTCTCCCCCTAATAAAAATGTGCATGGAAATAATTTTTAAGAAAGCAAGTTCTGATAAAGTCCTGAACTTTAAAAATACCTCAAAAAAGTTAATAATTCTGTAACAGAATATGGATGCTTGGGGCAAGATGTGTTTCGATAATATGCCATTTGCATGTGACTAATGGAGCAAGAAAAGGTCACAGTGTTATTCTTTTTTTTTTAATTTTTTAACATTTATTTATTTTTGAGAGACAGAGGGAGACAGAGTGCAAGTGGGGGAGGGACAGAGAGAGAGGGAGACACAGAATCAGAAGCAGGCTCCAGGCTCTGAGCTGTCAGCACAGAGCCCAACTTGGGGCTCAAACCCATGAACTGTGAGATCACACCCTGAGCCAGTCGGATGCTCAACTGACTGAGCTACCCAGGCGCCCCCACAGTGCTATTCTTATTTAAAAATGGCAAATATATATGCTGCTAATACTTTGCTTCTACAACGGTATTGGGCCAACATGCTTAGTGCTTTGGGGCCTTTTACCATTTTAGAGAGGATCTCAAGCCTTTGTGTTTATCACAATATAATTGCATTCTCTTAAGCCATTTATATTAGAATATAGATGTCTTTATAAAATTATAACAATTAAAACATTTTTAGAGAAGAATTTATTTCTATTTGTTTTATGCCATACCTGGCAATGAGAAGTCAGTGAGGAAAAAAATAACCCTATGTGGCAAATAAGGTTGTTGTCTCAAATGAAAAGATGAAAACAAGTATAATAACATGCCTCATTACACTGCTTCGAAAATAGCATGCACCTGGAACAGAGCTACAGAGAAAGAAAAGTAATAAATTACAGACAGACAGACAGACACAGACACAGCAGAATGCTATCAAGAGCTGTGAGGGCAAGGGCAATAGTCCTTTGGGTGTTTCTCTCCTCCGATTTTCACATGTCTCTGGTATATATGTATCCCTTTTATTTTTACTGTCTTGATGTTTTTCTTTTTTTAAAAAAAAAGTTTCTGTATTTGTCTTGAGAGAGAGAGCACACATGCGCACTAGTTGGGGAGCACTAGAGACAGGGAGAGAATCCAAGCAGTCTCGGCGCCGTCAGTGCAGAGCCCAATGCGGGACTCGATCTTATGAACCATGAGATCATGCCTGGGCTGAAATCAAGAGTCAATGCTTAACTGCCCGAGCCACCCAGGAGCCCCTTGTCCTTTTGTTTTTTTCTGATAACAAGATTAATACATTATAAACTGTATCACATGTATATTATAAAAATATTTCAAGAACTTAAGCAAGTTTAAAACATCCCATGAGAAACTTGGAAGACATTCTTTTGTAATAACCGTAAAGATCATAACCTTTCAAATCCATATCCAGGAGGAACAGATAGTATGAATTTGCTTTTCTAACAGCTTATAACTCCTCTCTGGGAGGCAACAGAACATAAGAAAACTGGCACAGTATTTAATGTCAGATCTGAATTCCATTCCCAGTTGAACCTCTTCCCAGTTGTGTCACCTTCAGTAAAGAGCTTCTCTGAACCTCACTTTTCTGTAAAATGGGATAATTCTTGGGCTAATGACTTCATGTAATGGGAATATTTCAAAGGGCAAAAAACTACTCCATAAGACAAATGCTTTTTCTTTATGCTTCAATTTCCTCATCTATTAATTAAGAAATCTGTACTAGATGAAATCTAAGTTCCCTTTAAAATCTAAAAGTTGAGGATCTTTCTTTTATGATAAATGATATATAAAAAAATAAGCTGAAGTTTAACTTCATTATACTCTGCCTGGAACCTCCCAAAATATAACAATTCTGCCTTGAAATTCACATTCTCTTTGCTGAAAGATGGCCAAAGGAGTGCATTATCGTGGAAGGAAGGGAGGGAGGGAGGGAGGGAGGGAGGGAGGGAGGGAGGGAGGTAGGAAGGAAGGAAGGAAGGAAGGAAGGAAGGAAGGAAGGAAGGAAGGAAGGAAAGTTTCCTGAAGATGATCTCATGCTCGCTGGCTAGCCAGCAAACAAATCTAGTAGGGTAACCAAGAAAACAACCAGTCAAAGAAAAGAATGTGGGGCTCCTTTTCAACCAAATTCAGTGACAATGCTTTGAAAACATAAATCACCACCTGTAAAAAGCCTTGTCCTTATTTATTTTGACATCTCATAGTTTATATATATATTTATATATAAAGTTTATATATATATATATAAAGTTTATATATATATATAAACCTGTCAGAAATACAGCCATGTGCTTCATTGTGAGCTGAAATGCCCGATCCTCTCTATAGACAGAAGGCCAACTTCCACCTGTCCAAAAGAAAGAAGGTCAAGCCTAAGTGAGCAAGGGAGACTGACAGAAGATAAGGCCAGAGAGAAAGGCAGAGGCCCAAAAATGTAAAGTCATGGTAACCCTAGAAAGAAGTTTGAATTTGATTCCAGGAGGGAAGCCATTCCAGGATTTAAGCAGAGGAATGGCATGATCTGGTCTCACATTTTAAAAAGGTCATTCTGGTTGTTATGTGGTTGGGGTGAGGATCTGGGGTGAGAGGGCAAGAGAGGAGGCAGAGAGATAAGATGAGATCAGAGGATGTCACAGTAGTTCAGAGAGGTGACAGGGGCTTGCACAAGGATGACAATAACCAAGGTCATAGACAGTGGTCAGATCCACGGTGTATTTTGAATGTTGGGCTGATAGAACTTGCTGATGGATTTGACATTTGCTTTAAGGAGAAGGCAGGAACCAAATATGACTCTCAAGCTTCTGGAGTGAGCAACCAGCTAATGGTGTCAGTCGCCAAAATGGAGAACACTAGGGTAAGGCATGCTTGGCTTCCAGGACAGAAGAAAGAGTTGTTTGGACATCTCAGGGTCCTGAGGCCAATTAAGGCTTTCAAATGAAGATGTCAAGGGCGCTGTTGGATCTGTGAGTGTGAACGTGAAGGGGGAAATGTAAATCTGGTAGTCAGCGGGGATGTAGATGGCATTTAAATTAAATATAGGGGACTGAACGAGACCAGTTACAGAGACTGAACGAGACCAGTTACAGAGAGTACAAATGGAGGAGACAAACGCATCAAGGATTAAGCCCTAAGGCACTCCAGTGCTTTCCTTGAACAGAGGAGGATCCAGCAGAGCTGACTGAGAAGGAAAAAGCAAAGTAGGAAAGTGTGATATCCTAAAGGGAGGACAATTATCAAGGAGTGATGGAGTGCTCAACTCAGGCTGAGGTCAAATAGTTCACCATGGGACACTATGAGTCCATGAAAGTACCTTGAATTCTTAAAAGGTGCACTATTGGAATATAAAGTGCTAGTTTAAAAAATAATAGTCCTTCACTTCCATTTTAATGTAAAGATATGCTCAATAAAGAAAATCCAGAAAATACAGGAGAGTACAAAGAAGAAAAAAATCATAAGAAATCTGTCATTAGGATTTTGAATACTTTTGGGGCACCAGGGTGGCTCAGTTGGTTGAGCGTCTGACTTCAACTCAGGTCATAATCTCATGGTCCGTGGGTTTGAGCCCCGCGTCAGTCAGGTTCTGTGCCAACAGCTCAGAGCCTGGAGCCTGCTTTGGATCCTGTGTCTCCTCAATCTCTGCCCCTCCCCAGCTCATGCTCTGTTTCTCTGTCTCTTTCTCTCAAAACTAAATAAACATTAAAGAAATTTTTTAAAAAAGATTTTGAATACTTTTCCTCAAAATCTTTTTTTATGTATAGAAGTTTAACTTTTGCTTTTTAAACAGTCTAAATATGTGGCCATGTCATTTCATGCTCTGCTCTTATCAGTCTCTCATGTTGTTATACACCATTCTTTTTTAAAAAAATTTTTTTAATGTTTATTTTTGAAAGAGAGACAGAGAGTGTGTGGGGGAAGGGCAGAGAGAGAAGGAGACACAGGATATGAAGCAGGCTCTAGGCTCTGAGCTGTCTAGGCTCAAACCCCCAAACCATGGGATCATGACCTGAGCTGAAGTCAGACACTTAACCGGCTGAGCCACCCAGGTGCCCCTGTACTATTCTTTAAAACATTTTAATGACAACTTCATAGTTGCCTTTTATTGATTGCTTACAATGGGCCAGGCACTGTATTAAAGCCTCTAGAAATATATTGCACCAAATCATCACAACAACCCATAGACCTTTACTGTTATTATCCTGCATTTCTAGGAGAAAAAACAGCTAAGTAATTTGGCCAAGGTAAAGTCAAGATTGCATTTGCTGTGCTCTTAACCATGTATTGCTCAGAAGACATAATTTGCTTCATCCCTTGTTGATAGAAATGAGGTTGTCTAATTCTTTAGAATTATAACTACCACTTTAGTAAGTATCTTTGAACACATTTTTTTTTTATTAATTTAGAATTATTTCTTCAGAATAGACTTCTGGAAACAGAATTACTGGATTAGGGAAGTATTTTTAAGACTCTGACACATTGTGAAACTGTTTTCCCAAATGTCTTTCCCCAATATATTTCATCACTAAAAGGTTACTTTAAAATCTGCTTCATCTAAAACACAAGGTGTAGAAAAAGACTGCGGAGGGGAAAAGTAAGGTCTGTGAAAACATAGTAAGTGGCCACCAGAGGGCAGCCATGTCACAGCTCTGTTGAACCAAAATATCCTTTGAGACAAAAGGAAAGACTAGGTTAAGCTTGCAGTTTTAAATCAAGTATTTGCATCACTTCACGTTGAATTCCACTTTTGTTATATTTATAGACAGAGAAGCCATTTATTTCTCTTATTACTAACTGATTTTAGAAATCGCAATCATGGAATGGATTTCTTTTGCCTTAAATTATCTTGAGCAAGGACAGGTTGGGATTTACTTGACATTAAAGACAGCTATCTCATCGCTGCAAGGAAAACCAGAAGTGAGACCAGCAGTGTAGATTGCTTTCTTACCATACAAGACCTGGGCATGCTCAGTAGCAGGAAGCATTCCTGTTGTTAACCGGAATTGAAATGTTTCTTTCCCCTGTGTGTTTTTCCATTCATTTGTTCATTTACCCAACAAACATTTACTGAGCACTTACTACATGCCAAGCTCCATGCTAGAGACTGTGTACAATGATGGACAGAACTAGTATTGCCCCTACCCTCATGGAACTTACAATGGAGTAAGTAAGCCATATATGACTCATAAACACAAATAAACAAATATTTATAGACTATGATGAGTACTGAGACAAAAAACACAAGTGCACAGTTGGAACTGTCATTCAGCCTGGAGTGTCAGGAACTGCTTTCTGATGTAGTAAACTTTGATGGAAGGCCTGAAGGAAAAATATGATTTAATGAGGCAAAGGGGCCTGCAGTGGGAGAAAGACCATTCTAAGCAGAGAAAAGTCACGTATGAAAACTTTGGGAAAAGGGAACATAGATTGTTTTAGGAATAGAAGCCAGTATGACTGGATCACAGACAGCAGAGAAAAAGAACAGCACAAGAGAGAACCGGTAAGTAGCCAGGGACCAGATCATGGAACAGGAAAAAAGTAACACTATTTCCTCTAAATGAGTTTGTTTCACCATGGACCAGAGGTCTACAATTAAGAATAAACTTTCAATACAGGTTTTTCCAGAGTACTTTCAGTTTCAAATAGTCTGATAGCCCACTTTCATAAAAGCACTTCTACTTGTCTGACTGGTCTGTCCTGATTTTTCTGTTGGGGAGAAAAAGGTTTCCGAGGAAGTATTTCTAATCCTCACATTTAGAAAAACTGACCATTGGAAGAGTTAATTGTCTTTAGAGGTTTTTTTTTTTTTCTTCCTTAAATAGTTTATTGTCAGGTTGGTTTCCATATAACACCCAGTGCTCATCCCCACAAGTGCTCTCCTCCATGCCCATCACCCCCCTCCCCCTCTCTCCCACCCCCATCAGCCCTCAGTTTGTTCTCAGCATTCGAGTCTTTAGAGTTTAATAGTTGGCCTCAGTGTGGTTTTCTTTGCTTTCTACCGCCTGGGGTTTGCTGCGATTTCTGAATCCTGGGCTGACGTCTTTTACCAGTTTGGAAAATTCTTGGCTATTATCTCTTTAAATTTTGCTTCTGCCCCAATCTCTCTCCTTTCTTTCTGAATCTCCAATTACATTTTTGCTAGTCTTTGTGGCTATGTCCCACAAGTCTTTCTGCTCTGTTCTTTCCATTGCATTTTTTTCTCTGTGCTTCAGTTGGATATTATTAACCGAGCGGTATTCAACTCTACAAACCTTGTCTTCACTGTGAATAATCTTTTGTTGAACCCATGCGATGAGTTATTCATTTCAGATGTTGTATTTTTCAGTTCTAGATTGACCTTTTAATTTTTTAAATAGATACCAATTCTCTTGAAATTTGCCTCATTTTACCTATTTTCTGGGTTTTCCTCTATTTTCTTAAGCAATAACTTTTGTTATTTTAAAGGCATTCTCTGCTAACTCTAACATCTGGACCATCTGTGGGTCTGCTTCCATTGTTTATTTTTTCTCTTTATTTTTGGTCACATTTTCCCTCCTCAGCATCGTCAAATAGCCTTGATTTTACACCGATACAGTGTATAGAAGAGCCACAGATGACTCCCATTTTCTGTTAGGCAGATATAATGAGGGAATCTCCTCGATCCAATTAGAAATTGAGACAGGTTGAAGATGGACTGCAGTCGTAGTGTAAGCCAGCTCACCTACGGTTCATCACTGTTTGGTCATGGCCTAAGGCTGTTGACGTAGAGCCTAGCAGGCCTGAAGCCCCTCACACCTGAGAGACCCACAACAGATTCAGTACCACTCGGGTCTCCCTCCACGCACTTCAGAATCCGGCAATGTCCTGAGAGAGAGAGATGTTTGTATCTGGTAGCAGGGCCTCTTTTCCTAAAGGGATTTTGTCTCCATAGCACCATAAGACTGAGAGACTTCTTCATACCCTTTGGGTCAGCCTCTCGTCTCCTGAACAACCAGCAAATGTCCTGTGAGAAAACTGGCCTAGTCTTTATGGCTCCTCTAGTTTCCCATCCATCATATGAGTCGCAAACAACTGCCAAAAACTCTTCTTGCGCCTCTTTCCTCAAGAATTCCTCCTCCTTAGCCTACGACCAGAATCAGCAAATGTCCCCTGGGAATAAAATGGCTGATGATCATCCGCTTACTTAGGAAGAGTTCTACCCTTTCTGGACTTGTAGTTCATATAGTCTTCTTTGCTTCCCAACCAATATGATTTGTGAAATTTATGAAGAGAACAATGGACCAATTACATAACCAAGTTAAGGAAAGTGTGTACCTGTGAGGGCATCACAACTGGCAGACCGATTATTACATCGGCAGGGCAAGCAGCCACTCTTACTAAAGTCATAATATCCATCTTGGCATCGATCACATGTAGAGCCGGTGACGCCCACTTTGCACTGGCACCTCCCAGAACTGCAAGTAAAAGCAAAGACAATGAACAAAAGTAAATCAATTTGAAAGTTTTGTTGCCTAACATCCCAACACAGATGATCTTCATGTAGAAGTATTTCAACTAGATTCTAATTACTAGAATTATTGTATTTGTTTTTGTTTTAATTGGAAGTTGAGCAACTTCATGACTATATAAATTCAATTAGCATATTAACACTAATCATTTCTGACAATTTAATCCTCTGCACTTAGGCTAAAATAACGATAAAGGAGTCATGGGAACATACATCCCAAATGCTTATAAATCTTTGCTTAGTAAGCACTGGGGCGTAGAACAGTACCACTGCTACCTCTCATTCCTGGATCATTCTAAAGTCCCATTAGCATCTTCCCTTCCCAATATGGAGAAGAGAAGAAGCACCATTTGGTCTTCATCCAGCCTAGCTTCTGAATATGAAGACTAAGTTCTTAATGAATATGTCAGTCAGTATCCATTTAGATGCTAGAAATAATATAAGTTTCTACTTTAGGTTCAGGCTATCTTAAAATCATATTTCTGGTAACTAAATTGGAATCACAGTTAAGTAAATATGATGATAATGGAGACCTCCATTGCTTTCTGGATTAAATTCATATAAAAAATTCTAGATTGCCAACCCCCCAAAAAAGAAGAGTAGAATCTAAAGTAAGAAAAATAGGGGTGCCTGGCTGGCTCAACTGGTAGAGCATGTGACTCTTGATCTCAGGTTTATAGTTTGAGCCCCTCAAACTTGGGTATAGAAGTTACTTAAAAATAAGATCTTTGAAAATAAATAAGAAAAGTAAGAAAAATACCTTATTTCACAATGTGACTCTTCTTTACATTCTTATTCTGAACTTGAAATTTTTAGACTTTACCTGAGTATATTTTGGCACCAGTCACAATGGATGGGAGGCAATTTAAGATAAAACTGCTTTTCAATATAATATTTTTAGAGATTCAGCTCCTAACACTGAGCCCCCTGAGGGTTATTATTTTTAGTTCAAGAGCCCAGGCTAAAATTGTGAATACTTGCACAGCTCTTAGACATATCAGTTAAAGTAATCCCGTAATAAATCCCATATTCCCATTTCTATAATAAAACCAGAAGTTCCACATTTGAGAGTCCTGGAATTCTCAGCTGAACTTTGCAGAATGCAGGTAAAGCAACTTCCAACCATGTGAATTCTACTTGTAGTAGACAAACCTAAGGATTTTTTTTTTTTTTGAGATATGCCTCTCTCTTTCATCAGCATCCCCTGGGCTAAATAATGAAGCTTTCATCCTCCATCCCTAGAAAAACTCTCTTGAGCAGCTAGAGTCAAAGTTTACTTCTGTCTCCTACTTACAGTTCTCTGCACTGTCCCAGGCTATGCCAAAAAGGAGCAGAAAAGTAGAAAAACAGTTCTACATGGAACATTTTTAGGGCTTTACTCAAACAAAACCAGTCCAGAAGGGAAAGGAAGCCAGGCTTATGTAAATAATATATACTTTACATATTTTAAAGTCTTGTATCCTGAAAAGTCACCCATCAAACTCTGTATTCCTCTCTCAAAGCTGTCTAGTATTAGGTTATGCAATTGCTTGGCTAGCAAGTAATTTTACAGAAAATGTAAAATGGAGGCATCTGAAAGCAGGAGTCCTGCTGCTGAAGATGATGATAAAATAATGAGCATCGTTTGTTGATGGCAGATATCAGTAAACATATGTATGTTCTCTAATCCTCAAAATAACCCTACTAGGTGGAAGTCATAATCCTCATTTTATTACTGAGGGAAATCAGGAGAGGGGGGCAAAGTTATTGTCCACACCTATTAAGTCAGGCTGATTTGTACAAAGCCAGACTCTTCTTACTATACCATGCCACCTACCACTCCCTAAGCCTAAATCTAAATTTGTACAAGAAATTTGCCTGCCAAATAACTTGATACCTACTTGGGTATCAAGCTTCATTCTGTAGATTCCAAGCACCACAATTCATCATTTATGTAGGTTCTTACCCCAGTGAGCTGTTTCTGTCTTGCCCAGAATAAACTGTGGTCTTTTTTCTTACTGCCAGTAAATTTCAGGTCTTCCTTAACAAAAGCTAAGAGTTCTCACTGCTTGAAGAGAAATGGCAGCCTAACTAAGTCCAAGGTTCCCAGAGAGGCAAGCCCAAATATTTTTATGCTTAAAGCTTAAATGAAATGTATACTGATCATAGTGCAGAAGACAAGCCTTGATTTTAGACAAGCAAGAGAAATGTACATTACAGGGGCACTGGGTGGCTCAGTCAGTTAAGCATCCGACTTCAGCTCAGGTCATGATCTCATGGTCCGTGGGCTTGAGACCGGCATCAGGCTCTGTGCTGACAGCTCAGAGCCTGGAACCTACTTCAGATTCTGTGTCTCCCTCTCTCTCTTCTCTCCTGCTTGTGTTCTCTCTGTCTACCCAAAAATAAATAAACATTTTAAAAACAGAAAAAAAAGAAATGTACATTACCAAGCAATGTCTCTTAAGTAACTTCACAAAAAAAAGAAAACAAAAGAAAAAATCCCACACACATACGCTTAACAGTCTCACACAAGAATATCCCAAGGTACTTAAAGATCTATCAAAGTCAATCTGTAATCATCAAATATGAAGTGCAGGAATATCTTCTTACTCAACAAGAAGGAACTAGTCAATTTAAATCTCTCTCTACTGCAGAAAATTATGAAGGATATAATGTGCTTTTCAAAGAATCGCTAACAACAATTTATTAGCCAATTTCTAAGGCTTTTAGAATGTTAATCAAAATATGTTTGTTCCTCATTTCTCTACGTGCATTAGATTATTCAGTATATGGAAGAATAAACAGTTACTTTTAATGACAGTGTTTGCCAAACTCACCAACCTACAAGAAAATGATATTATCTTGGAATACCTAATCACTTTGTAATATCTCATAATCCTAACATAGCCAGTACTCTCAAAATAGTTGCTATTCCCATAAGTGGACTTTCCCATCATAATTCTGCTCTGCGCACTCAAAAGATCGATTTAAGCAGGTAGCTTTCTCCCTGGAGAATGTGCTCCTTAGTTGCTGATTAAAAACAAAAAATCCATGAGTGACTTTATGGATCCCGATAAAGTGGTTGCCTAGTATAGATACCATGCTTCACTTTTCCTGGGTAGATTTTAAAACAATGGGAAAGGAGATGTTTTTTCTCTCTCTCTTTTTAAATATAGAAGGGAGTGGGAAAGTTTGGTCATGAGATTACACTAGTAGTGCTTTCCATGTTACTCATGGCCCATCGCCAATTTCTGCATGTATAAGAATTAAATCACTCGGCAAATATAAAGCTCTCCCTGTGTGACTTCTTTTACAGAATAAAGCCTTTACAACACCCCCTTTCATGGTCTCCCTCTGTTAGAGACTGTTGAATGCTTTTTGAAGCAAAGGTCAATGATATAAATGCAATGAAATCAAAGACAGGGGGAAAAAAAAAGTCCTGTTAACAGACCACTTATGTGTATCCATAGATTTGAAATGAAAGGACCAAAGACTCATAGCTTCATATCTGGAAAATAAGGGCACAGAATTAGATTTTGAACAGAAGTCAGAAATCTACACTACTGAGATCAACTAACAAAGAATTTAAGATAGAATTTGTTCATCTGGCGTCTTTTACAACCATGAGTTAGTCACTAGTAGAGTACTAATACAGGATGGAGAATTATATCAGAAAGAAGAATATAGAGCTATTGGTAAAAGAAGCACAAGCACTGTGGAACCAAGCTGTACTACATAATAACTAAGTATATTCTATACATTTCCTAAATTATCCCAAGTAGAACTCTCAGATTTTCTTATGGCTGTCAAGTGCTTAGTAATAGAATTTATCACACTCATAAGCATAAACAACTATTACAAGACTTGAACACTGAAAAATGACCTCTTAAGGGGTGCTTCACTGGCTCAGTCAGAAGAGCATGCAATTCTTGATCTTGGGATCATGACTTTGAGCTCCACATTGGGTGTAGATTACTTAATTAAATAAAACTTTAAAAAATTATCTAGATGAGTAGATGGAAAGCCTCCAGAATTTCCATTGTTTTATAACAGCATTGACTAGCACGGGGCAGTTGGAACCTAAGAAGGGAAGTATCAGGACCTATGGAAAATTCATAGCCTGGGGACACCGAGAGCTTGGTTCATATTCTAGCTGTGCTGGTCTCTAGCTGGGACCAGGTGCATCTTCTGCCTTAGACTCAGTACTCTCATTTGTAAAATAGAGACAATTATACCAAACTTTGTAGGGTTACCGTGGGAATGAAAGATGGCATGTCCGGGGCACTCAGCACAGTATCTGGCATGTAACCAGTACTCTAGAATGAAACTAGGAAGATAAGGACGGGAATCCTGGGTCTTGATTTCTTCCTGAGAATTCTAAGGAAAATGGGCTGGAGTGTCTACATAAGGCTAAGTTATTTACTTATAAAATTCTGTTAACAAACCTGGAAAAACTGCCAGAATTTATGGGGTAACTGTTAGTATGGAGCAAAAAGGTGGCAAGAGGAAAAGAGAGGACATTGTGAAACAAAGCCTGGGAGAAATGGTTTGGGGAAAGAAAATTCTTTATATTGAGAAGGGAAAGGATCTGCAAAATCCTACATAAGGTGGGGCCAAAACCAGTGAGACCTGGCGAGTTTTTGTACACACCAGCTAACTGGTTTAATGTTTTTTCTAGTTGTCAAATGTCTTGGCATATTTTGTGCTGTCAAAAATATTGTCTATGTTCTTCCTAAGAGACATAAAATGTCAATTATATGTACATGGCATATCTTTAGATAACGTGATCGATTTGGACGCAAGCAGTCACAGAATAACTAAGAAAATACAGTTCTAATCGGAGAAAATTAATTTATTTGTGGTTTTCCACAAGGCTTGTTTTTCCTCCTTCCTTCCCCCTTAGCTCACATGTTGGCACTCTGGCATGAAAAGAACAAGAGACAGAAAAAAATAGATGATCAGAGGTAT